TCTTTTCTTCATTTAGAATTCTTGATAATCTAGCCAACTTATTCTCGTCGTCTTGAGCAAGCGATACACAACAATGAAAATCAGACCAGATTTTGTTTATATAGGCATTCTGCTGACTTTTGTGATCTACTGCAGCTAATTTTCCATTTTCAAACTCATTACTGGAAGATGCAGCTTTGAGCCAATGGTTGAGAAGGTACTGATCAGGTATTCTATCTAAATCCTTGATGAACATTAATATATGACGACATAATAATCCAAATTGCTCAAACATCTTGCAGCTGCAATTTACAGAATCCCGACATTTATCTACAATGAAGTCAATATCATCACGACTAGCTTCTACAACTTTATATCTTGTCACATCATTCTCATTTTGGATGTGGCCTACACACCGAAAACATGCTGCTTCAATTTCTGTTTGTACCTCAGAAAATACTGTTTTAGTATAAACCTTTGCAGCATGTTTCTCAATTTCTAATGGTGTCTTGCATTCAGCAGGCGAAGACACACATTCATGATGCATCTTACGTGAAACATGCCTTTATGCATCCATTGCACTTTCAAAATGAATAAAGAACTCAACTAAGTTTGCTTGTGGAGACATGTAACTTCCGCACCAACTATTTGTACTTTCTGATCTAGATGTTGTCCTAAGCAAACCGCCCATTTTCACATCTTTAAAATATGCTGGTATCCATGACTTTTTAATCTCAAACAGATTACGAAACCACTGATTTTCGGTTAAGGCAAAATCATTCATCAAATTTCCCCATTTTTTTTCAAATTCACAAGGGGTAATATAACTATTCCAGACTATGTCATTTAATCTCTTGATGAAGGTATTATCCTTTGCTAAAGTAGGACCAACCTTTACATTTACCTTTTCCATAATGTGCCACATGCATAAACGATGTCTTGCATGTTTGAAAGTTGCCCGGATAGCATTCTTCATGGCAGGATCTTGGTCGGTAACAACGTCATATGGTTCATGTCCCATAGCCTTCAAGAAATTTTCCAACAGCCAAATATATGATTCTTCATCCTCTTTAACTATCAACCCAGTTGCTTATGTTACACACTTTTTATGGTTATTTATTCCAGTAAATGGGACAAACACCATTTTGTACCTGTATATAAAAAAATAACAAAATTTAATTAGGTCTCGCAAAATTTAAACATATGCATTTTTTAAGTCTGTGTTCATGCATACTTAGTTGTCTTATGTTGCAAAATTAGTTTCAAATAGCTACAAGCTTTGGCAGATAGTTATGCAGACTACTGTCTCAAAATAAAATCACTTATTTGATACCAAAATGCTTATTTAGTTTTATAATCATGCAAGAATAGTTCTATAATGTGGCATACATAGTTTCAAGGTGATGCATAGTTTGTATTATCACAAACTATTAAATTGCTAAATTATTTCATACCTGTTGCATATTTAATGTGACATTCACAACAGTAACAATCAGATATATCATAACAATTTAGATATAACAGAAATGTATTTTCACAACTAAATCAATAAGATGTTTGTTGTTTTTATATGCAATAGTTACTAATAAGAGCTGAGTAGAACTGAATTGTACCTGTTAGTGTTGTAAGTTGCATCAAATGAGACGACATCTCCAAACATCAGGTAATTTTTTCTTGAAATTGGGTCTGCCCAAAATATCCTGCTTAATTGGTTATTTCCATCAACTGCATACTCAAATGCCATGTCTGGGCATACTTCTTGTTTGTTGTGGAATTTCTGAATGATGAGTTGCGCATCTGCTCCAGACATGTAAGTCATAAGTTCTCTCTTATAGTTCTTGAAATCAATTGCGAGAGCACCAACATTATCATATCCCCCAAGCATTTCCTTATATAACCTATGAGTTTTACCTGGTCCAATGTTTGCTTTCACACAATTAAGAACAAATTTTCGGTGTCCGTAATTCAATTGCCGATTTGCATTGAGATAAAGTGTCTCCAGTACTAGACTGTGGCAATGTCTTTCTTCAAATTCTGCAATTTTTTATCCATTTCCATCATACTCAAATATTACTCGAGCTTTGCAACCAACCCTTTTCGACACACGTTGTCGTTGAACTCCACATGACTCAGGAGGTAGTTGTGGCATACTCTTTGAAGTATTTTGTTCAATTTCTGGCTTAAATCCTTGTCTATTGCAAACTATATACTGTTTACTTACTACGCCACTTCTAAATCGTTTTTTTGTGCTAGTCCGCATATCAAATCCACCGTTTGCCCCATAGTTTCTGTAAAAATCCATTGCAATATCAAGGTTTGGAAACAGCATACCGACTTTAGGCTTTATATCTGGTTGGACGATTGGTATCCAAAACTTTGTTAAATTTGGTGATATCACCAACTGAATCTGAGATCCCTCATGAGCAGTACCTACTACAAAATATAAGAAGAAAATTAAGTTTGAGAACTGTTGCATGTTTAGTTCAATAAAATTGCATTCTTAGTTCAACCGATATGCATTTTTATAATTAAAGCGTTGCATATATAGTTATAATCCAGAATGACTCATTGAATGAAACTGCAGTTATAACGTGCATACTTGCCAAGATATTTCATGCATATTTATTACGTGCATATTTATTGATATACGTATGCAAGTTTAGTTACTCTTTCATGCACAATTAGTTATTCTTTCATGCAAAGTTTGTTTTATATATATCGATCTAATGTATAAGCAGACCTGTGCAACAGACAATTTTTTTGCATGCTTATCAATAGACAGTTGCATATTTAGTTATTTTTACATGCATATGTATTTCTAAATCGCAACATATTTAATATTTATGTCGGAAAACAGAGATTCTTCCAAAAATCAAAATTGCAGATAAGCACGAACAACATATTTTTCAATATTATGTGCTCGACTCTTATTAAATAACTCGATTTCATCAATGTATAATTCATCAGCATTGATTATTTTAAATTTAGATGAATCAATTTGGAAAAAAATGTCACTATACCTCCTTCCATTAATGTCGCAACTGGAGTTGCTTCGATCTCCATTTGAAGTTGCTTTCGCGATTTTGTGTGATAAATCTGATCAACTTTATGAACCGCAGTTGAGTTTGTCTATCGAATAGATTAAAAAGTTAAACCTAATTAGTCGATGAAATCAAAATCGAGTATGAGAAGGAAATCGTACAGAATCGTGATTGAGAAGGAAAGTTTAGATATTTTTCTGATTTTGTTGCGAGCGGAGATGGAGATCCTGTTTTAATTCTGTTTGATTTGTTATATTTATATGTTTGATTCTGAGCGTAGATCTGAAAGGCAGAACTGACGGCTCAGATGATGGTCTCACGTGCACATTTTAAGGAGTGGACTCATTGGATCCACCCCCGATATATATATATATATATATAACTAATACAATGTCCATGAACTACGCGGGTGTTTGAGAAAAAATTTAATTGTGTAACAAAGAATGAAAAGAAATAAAAATCTTATTGTGAAACAAAAATTTTATAAATTATTAAGAATAAAGTAAAAGAATTTTTAATATTAAATTTGAATTTTAGAAAATATATTGTATGAAATATTATTTATTTTATATATTATATATTCATTTTTTCCATAATAAATAGAATAATTAAATTATTGTGTAGTTAATATAATTCCCGTGAATAACATGGGTGCATTAAAATAAAAATAAAATATTTATATAAAAATAAGTTAGAAAATAAATATATATTATTATAATATAATGTTAAAAAATTAAGTATAAAACTAATAATTAAAAAATTAACAAATTTAATTAGTTAAATAATACCCATATTTCAAAATAACTTTATTAAAATGAATATTTAAAATTGTATGAAATATTATAATTATTTTTATTATTTTTAATTATAATCAACATTTTTTTTTTAAATTTTTAATATCATTATAATATTCAATCTCTTTATAGTTTTATTTAAGTTGAGTCACAAATTTTAAAATATTTTTTATATTTATTTTATGTTCTTACTTAATTTATACATATTCTTTTCAATTAAATAAATATTTTATGTTCTGTTAATATAAATCAATTTATATTGCTTCATAAGATAATATGTATTTTTTGTTATTTTTTAGTTAGTTTGATAAATCAATTTAAAATTTCTTTATAAGGATATATAACATTGGTTTGTATTTTATATATGTAATATGGATGTCAAATCGAATATCGTTAAAAGATAATAAATTTGATATATCATATATAAGAAAAATACAAACAAAGAAGTTTTAAATAAAAAAAAATAAAATAAGAAGAGGACACATTTATAATAATTGGTGTATGAATTAAATAGAAATAAAATGTAATATATGGTAATGTAGGGAAAGGAAACATAAAAGAAATTATAGTAACTATAACTAATTGTATAAGTAAAATAAGGAATAAATCAGTCGAAGATTTAATATGAATAATATAGATATTTAATGCAATTCAAGCCTAATTATTATTTTATAAAAAATACAAATTTATATCCGAGCCTTGCTACGAAACATAATTTTTGGCCACATAGATTACGAAGCGTGTGTGTTTGCCACTTAGGCTCAACATATTCGACAATTATATATAGGGGGATATTCAAAGTGTATAATTGGGATTTTGCGAAAAAATTAATGCCGTTAACGAAAAAAAATGAAACAAGGGAGCGTGTGCATCGGTTACATAAATGCTATGTTTGGTAAAATTAGCTGATAAGCACATATTTTTTAAAACACAAGGTAATAACGCGTACATTTTGTAGGGGGTTTGGTGCAATTTTTCCTTTTAAAAAACAAATTGAGATGTATTTTTTTTTTTATAATTGTTCATAGTTTTATATTTGGTGAAACAAAATAAAAGAAATTGACAATTTTTTTTTCTAATTTTTTTTTTTTAAAAAAACACCTGCTGAGTGCTGATAATATAGTACTCGGGTGAGTGTGATGTGCAAGCAATGAACAGAATTCAAAGTCAACATAACTGCATAACTAGTCAATGGAGGCTGCGTGAAAAGCACATACACCCTACACAAACCCATATTTGTCTTTGTGCAGCTAGTTTTGTGTTGTATCTTAGTAGTTTACAAGTTGGGGAGGGACCAGACTCCGCCATTAATGCCCTTTTTCTCCCAACCGCCATCTTCCGCTTTTTAGTGCACTTATCTTCAATCCTCACATTATTCATCTTTCTCTTTCTCTCTCTTCTTCACGTTTCTCGTGTTTACTCTAGTCTTAGAGTTGATTTACAAGCAGTAGAGCCACAAACGTGAGTGTTTCCTTCTCTTCTCTTTATATGTATGTTATGTGTGTGTGTGTGTGTGTCTGTCTACGTAAACACGTTTGTGCTGTATATACTGTTTGTCAATTGTCTATACATAATTATGTCTTGATTAATGCTGGAAAGGAGTTGGTCGGTGCGTTCTCAATTGAAATATAAATCAAATGATCACTCTTTTTTTGTTCCCTTCCCGTTTTAGTTTGTTTCCACACCTCGAAATTCTGATCAATTTACTTTTGGTCCTTTGTCAATTACTGTTTTGTGCAGAGTCAGATTGAGACCAATCTCTCCAAAAGACATGGGGATTTGTTTTAGTGCGAGAATCAAAGCTGAAAGCACAGCTCATACTGGTAAAAAATACGTTTGTTCTGCAGCAATTTGGTCGTGTTCTTCATAACGATTTGGGTACTTTTAGACTACATTATTGAATTTTGGTGGGAATTTGAGTTTTGAGTGCAAAAATTGGGTATTTCCTCGCATTCTCCAGGTGTGAATTCACAATACGTGAGCTCGGTTGATAGCAGCAAGGTTTTGTCGACTTCAATCCCTCCCACTCCCCGAACAGAAGGCGAGATCTTGATGTCATCAAATTTGAAGAGCTTTACCTTCTCCAATCTGAAAATGGCGACTCGTAACTTTCGACCCGATAGCTTAATCGGTGGTGGCGGGTTTGGGTCCGTCTTCAAAGGCTGGATTGACGAGAACTCGTTTGCTGCCGCTAAACCCGGGACAGGCATGATTATTGCCGTCAAGAAGCTTAACCAAGAAAGCTTTCAAGGGCATCGAGAGTGGCTGGTGAGTCGTAATTCTGTATGGAGTATTGAATCTGTGACATTAATTAAGTTGTGATTTTGTATGTATGTATGTATTTATGTCCTTCGTTCTTGATTGTAGGCAGAAGTGAACTATCTGGGGCAGTTCTCCCATCCTAATCTGGTGAAACTCATTGGCTACTGTTTGGAGGACGATTATAGGCTTTTGGTGTACGAGTTTATGCCTCGGGGAAGCTTGGAGAATCATCTCTTTAGAAGTGAGTCCATTTCTTAACCTATGTATATTGTCTGGCTGCAAAATTATAGAATATGAATGGCAGGTGTTTGGTATATCTTCACAGGGGGTTCGTATTTCCAGCCTCTTTCTTGGAGCCTCCGCCTCAAAGTTGCTCTTGGGGCTGCAAAGGGGCTTGCGTTTCTTCATAGCGATGAGGCTAAAGTCATATACAGAGACTTCAAAACATCCAACATACTACTTGACTCTGTAAATCCTCCTCATTTTTCTGATTCACAAAATTCGTTATCCCCTTTTTTTTTTATGGGAAATTGTTACCTATCATCTCCATGGCCGGCAAATTTGCCCCTAATATCACGACCTTTATCCAAGTTGTAATTTTATCATGACCTTCTCACTTTTGCAAATTATATCACAATCTTTAGTTTGTTGCAAACAGACTGAAAACAGTCATAGAAAAGTTGATGTGGTCGAACAACAAACTGAAGATTGAGATATAGTTTACACGAGATATGCAAATCTGTGCACTAATTTGCAACAAACTGAAGATTGTGATATAATTTGCAAAAGTGAAAGTCGTGATTAAATTGAAATTTCGAAAAAGGTCATGATATTAAGAGCAATTTTGCCTTGAAATAATAATATTTCGGACTTATTGTTGTCAAATTGTTATGAATTTCGGCAGAACTACGATGCGAAACTCTCGGATTTTGGATTGGCCAAGGATGGGCCGACTGGTGGCAAAAGCCATGTCTCGACAAGGGTCATGGGAACCTACGGATATGCAGCTCCAGAATATATAGCTACCGGTAAGAAATAACTTATAATTAATTTGAAGAAATAATAAATTGCTGTTTGGCCCATATTTGAATGAGTTGATATAGCATTCGGGGAATAATTAATTAATTAATTCAGGTCATTTGAGTGCAAAGAGCGATGTATATAGCTATGGAGTGGTGCTGCTCGAGCTACTTTCAGGCAGAAGGGCAATCGACAAGAACAGACCAAATGGGGAACAAAAGCTCGTTGAGTGGTCAAGGCCGTATTTGGGCGACAAACGCAAGGTTTTACGGATAATGGACAACCGATTGGAAGGGCAGTACACAATTGATATGGTCCAGCAAGTGGCTGCCATTGCTTTGCGCTGTGTTTCAATGGAGCCCAGGCTAAGGCCCAAGATGGCAGATATTGTTAATGGGCTCGAGCAGCTTCAGAATTTCGAAAATACGGGCAGTAACAATGGTGGGCCCAGGAGGCGCAGGCATAGTGCTGGTGACGCCAGCTGTCGGCTTGTGAATGCGCCTCACTCGAGACCTTCTGCTTTGACTTCCGATGCTTAGTTTAGAAAATATAAGCTGGGTTACTCTTATATATATAGTTGTATGGACTATATACTGGTTTTGTATAGTAGCTTCTTCAGTTGACTCACTTCTTGGCCTTATATTCTGTCTAGGTTTGTGTTTTCTCACGTGAAATTGTGAAAATCAGCTCAGATAAACTAGTCTGATGCCATCATGTTACGATGGTGAAAAAATAAAAAATAAAAAATCATCTGGTGTGTATATTGTTAATGAGCATTGTTGTTTGAATTATATTGCCAAGAATTTTGAAATATTTTAGCTGTTACTTGGTATTATCAACTTGTATTAAAAAAAAAAAAAGAAAAAAGGAAAGGGTAGAGGATTAGAAAGTGAGTGAATGAAGGAGATACATGATAGCAATATTTGTTGCTATTGTTCAAGAATCTTATCGACATCCTTGCTTTGTCTACAACGCGTGGGACAATATCCATCTCCAAATCAAAACTTTTGATTTCTTAAAAAAGTTTATAAAATTGTCGCTAGCAGTCAATTTTTTTATTATATACCTTTTCTATGACCATTAGTCCATTAGGTCACAAATTCTCCCATTTCCCCCGCAACACACGATGCTGCTTACAGTTATTTTTGAAAATGAGCACCTTGGATAGACTATTCGAAATTTATCCTTTGTCAAAACATTGTTTACTAACTAGGGTGATTCTACCGTCAGGTACCCCTCGTACATGCCTCGTACATGCATAACAACAGGTACCCCTTCAATTTCTGCCAAGTGTCCTTTTTCATAATTAAATTAAAAAAAAATTAAAAAATCAGTTAGGTTAGTACAAAAATACCCTTACTTAAATATACTAATTTAAAAAAATGTTTAACTATAAATATATTTACTTAATAGGTGTTTCATTAATCATATATTATTATTATACCCAAACACATTAACATATTTCAAATAAACCTCTTCTTATGTTGAAATTACATTTTCTTGTATTCATCATCATCGGAATTCATCTTCATCCTCTCCATGTTTCCAATTTCCGAACAGAGGACCGGCAGCAGCAAAAAACTAAAATGATCGAACATTTTGCAATCGTTCATGAATTCATGGCAATCGATCTCTTCCTTTTCGCGTTGGTTTCAAACTGTTAAATCGAAATGTTTTGAATTCCAATCGCAGGCACGATAAACGAAACCGAAACCATATTCTGTGAATTGTTCATTTGTGTTTCGAAATTCTTTTCCAAATTTATCGATTCGGGTAAGAGTTAATTAATATTCATATATGTTCGATCATTGATATTTTGCGATTTTTCCCTCTTCCTGCAATTTCAATCGCAGGCACGATAAACCAAAGTGAAACCATATTCTGTCAATTGTTCATTTGTGTTTCGAAATTCTTTTTCAAATTTAGCGATTCGGGTATTAGTTAATTAATATTCATATATATGTTCGATCATTGATATTTTGGGATTTTTCCCTCTTTCTGCAATTTAATTTCATGAATTTTATTTGAGGATGCGGGTTTTTGAAGTGTTATTTGTGATATACTTAGCAAACAGTTTACATTCTCGACATGTATGAGGATGATGACTATGTTGTATTTATTCCTTAATGTGGTTGCCCGATTGTCATATAATCTTGGTTAAGTAAAGGCTTTGAAGGATAACCAGAGTATGAAGAACACATTCGTCAACAGCAGAAGGGCTAAATTGTGTATGAAACTACTTGGAATAGTTTGCAGGTACATGCTCATTCATTCAGATTTTGGTGTCTTGAAATTTCTTCTGCTCAGAATTCCACTCCCGGAGAGTTCTTTGCAGGTGACTAAAGGAGTAGGCGAGTAGGCTGTAGCTTCTAAAGATGTACTTCGGATTGGTTGTAGTTATGTAGTGATTGCAATGTTGCACATTTTCTTTGTACTATGCATGATGACTCGAGTACGTATTGTTCAATTACTACTGAGTTGTGAAGTCTGGTATAATGTATGAATAAATGCTTGGAGTTTGTATTGTTGAACACTTTGGCAGGGCAATTGGTGTGAGAGTATTATTGTATTCATACATATTGAATGTGAACTCATCAGATTTTAAAGTTGTTTTGATGTATTGTAGACATTAATAAACAATTGAAACAAGCACAGAAGTCATTGTTAAACAATGGAAAAACACAATTTGTCATATTTAATTCTAATTCACTGTCATAGTCATTGTTTAACAATGGAAACACAGACAATTTGTGCCATATTTCATACCAATTTCATATGTAATTCGCTCTCAGATGTGTAATGTATCGTCATAATGAATTTAAAAAACATGTTTGATTAAGTAGGATGTTTCAGTATGCCAATGCATTATAACTAAAAACCAACCGAACAAAAGTTGTACAAAAAAGGTGTTAACAAAATGCTGATTACTCAAAACATAGTAAACATGTTCGGCGACAAAAGGACATAATAATTGACAAAAGGACAATAAATTGTTAATTCATACACCGACCGTACTAGTTCGCCGACAATCAAAAGGCTTATCAAATTTTTCACGTGTCCCATGCAAAATGTAATTGTTCAGACATCAACTTGAAAGACTAGAGAATTGCAATTCACTCTCCTAAAGTTGAGAATGCATCCTTCAGCTATATCAGCATCATCTAGGAAAGCCTTAAGTCCAGTGAATACGTGTTTGTTCCCTTCCTTTTTCACCCGCACTGTCCACTCCTTGCCCCGATGACGAATAATAGCAGACTGAGCGCTATCAAATTTTCCCATCAACGCTTGATTCCAGAATGTAGATGGAATTGTCTGTAAATAAAGATTAAAATTATGTCAAATGTACATATCAACAATTATTTTACAATTCATAAACAAGAGAAGTTTCGGTTGGAATCAAACCTGTCTCCCGCGGGTGACAAGGGTGAAAGAAACCTTTATACTGAAGGAACCATCAATAGTTTCTGCATCAGTAGCGCTAACTTCATCGTCGGAAATGCAACATCCCAACACAGTTCTAGTTACTTTCCTGCAACAACTAAGGCTAAAATGATAGACAATAAATGTGTTTGGACCTCGAAGTTCGAAACACAGTAGCTCATATATCTTCAGATGATTATCTCTTGCAAATTCCTCCCATCCATCTGAAAAGCCAATTCTGGATCCAAAACGCTTAATCACTACCGGCCATTTGAACGCATCATCATCGTCGGTGTTCTGAAGGGTGCATTCTATGGGAAGAAAGTCTTCGATCCCCTGATTAATTTTAGGTGGAAGAGGCTAGGAAACATGAAATTTGAAAATTGTTAAGTGATGAACTAACAACATATTCGAAAACATGGCCATGCAATTCATTATCAGAATAGACCGTTCACCAGTCTGTTGCTATCGGGGTTGAAAATAATTTTCATGAATCGGTTGATAGCCAACAATTGAGGCTTGCAGCCAGGCAGCCCGAGCACATTATTCCCCCGCATTAACCGATTCTGTTGACACAAACTATTGTCAAAGCGAATAAATTCAAAATTGTTCGCGTTGGCCAGCTTGAAAACCAAAAAATCACCAACTTTTATGCTGTTATCAAGAACGAATTCAACCCATCCATCAGTGAAACATATTCTTTCACCCAAAAATTCCACTGTGGTCCCAGCAGCGCCCACTTGCAATAGTGTCGCTATGCACTGTACAAGTAATGGGGAGCAGCACCCCATCAAAATACGGATCATTGGCATGGGGAATCGCCTATTATCCACAACATCATTGAAATAAAAAAACAATTATGTAACATTTTGTTAATTTATAAAATACAAATTGAATTAAGATTTTCCATACCCATTTTCCACCATATAAATTTTGCAAACAGATATAGGACAATGCTTAAAAATGCATATTCTCTTACTCATACCCATACCGAAAATTCACAGACAATTGTCCATTAACCTTCGTTTTTCACAAAACAAAAACACACAACATAATGAAATTATTGGCTAAGAATGCTTACCAGGAACGGATCTTCTGGTCGAAGAATAACTTTGATAAATATCGGCAACTCTGAAATGTTGTTGGCCATTGTCCGATTAACCGGTTGGTTGCTGTGAATTTTACTGTGAAAGGTTAAAAATGTCGTCATCTTTGAGATGTGGTTGTAATGGTGAATATAGTAGGATTAATTTCTGTTCTCGCTTAAATGACTTTGTCATAGACTGTCTTGGGCTTTTGTTTTTTTATTAAGTGGGCTTATTAAAGGGCTTTCGTCAAAATGGGCTTTTATGTTTCGGTTAGTTTGCATCAGTTAATCAAATGTTGGCCACCTGTTTAAGCAATCAAAAAAAAAAAAAAAAAAATTCTGAATTAAAGTAAAGTGGTGCTGAACCGAACAACCCCAATTTTGTAGTTAAGCAGATAACATGTTATTCAAGACAAGAATTCTACCGAATAGTATTAAAATTATTGAAAAATAAAAAATGAATAACCCAGGACCCTTATAAAACCATAAACTGAATAACAATGGCTTATGGAATCATCTATAGATTTCTCCTATTACTGGAATTTGTGTCCAAATAAGTACAAAATGATGAACACAACTATAAACCACAAGCACACTGTGGTTTTTCTCTTATTCCGGAGGACCTTTTGCATTTGTTTGTGCTCGATATCCAACAGTCTATTTTCCTCCTTCAGTTTTTGGTTTTCATCTTTAAGATCTTTAAGGAGATCACGCAACTCCCTTTGCATATTTTTGTTCTCGATTTCCATCAATCGTTTTTCCTTTTTAAGGTTATCCATTTCAGCACGAATTTGTTGAACGGCATCACGAAACTCATTAGATTTACGCAGCAGACCGGGAATTAATTGCTTTGAACGTCTGCACATTGGAGCATCAAACCACGAAAAAAAAGGGCATCCTCCTATCTGCAGAATAGAGGAAACAAATGAGAAAATCAGCACAATTTAGGGTTCGTTAACCCTAAAATTGGCAAATCTTACCTTGTAGTTAGGGCAAGAATTGAATCGCCTTCCAGGATTTTCCGAAGTCCACGACGTGCGAATTACAGAAATTTCGCCGCAATAACACTCATTCAACCCCGTCACATGTGAGCTTGCGGACATTTTTTTTTGCAGAACTGAATAAAATATTATCTAGTGACTTATGCAGTAGGGTTCTACTGAAAAAATTTGTGTGTAAAAAAATCTATTTAATATGTGTACTTAAATTTGGAAAGGCGACATTTTTGGTATAATTTCATCCATTAATCTAAATTGTGATTTTGCAGCAAATAACCTTCATGATTAGCCGTATTA